TTTTATTCCTGTCCTAAAAAGTCCTATTCTAAAAAGGACAAACATCGAGACTATCGATATCTCGAAACTCTGTCACGCTTATTCCTCATTGGTTCCGTCATCTGAGGCGGCTAATTTGAATTTGGAACTCATTTAAATTAACATTTTTTATTCCTGTCCTAAAAAGGATAAACATCGAGACTATCAATATCTCGAAACTCTATTACACTTATTCCTCATTGGTTCAGTCATCTGAGGCGGCTAATTTGAATTTGGAACTCATTTAAGTTAACAATTTTTAATCGCGATTTTTATAATTACAGCGCGCTGTAGCGCGCGTTCGTTCTCGTCTGATATAAATTCAATAAATTTATTGGTTGTCACTGAAAACTCGTATCGAGTTTCCTGATAGGAGTGTATTATTTTCGTATTTTCAAGTCTTCGGGTGAATTTTCCGCGGTTCCGCGATAAATTACAAACTCTGCGTATTTTCCTGGGTATGTCGATGGGCAAGGGTGAACATGACGAAATACAGCATATGCATCACGAATCGTTGACTCTCACCTGGTTTTAACGAACAGCTGTAAAAGTCTGATTGTTAGGTGACTTCCGGCGCATAATACCCGCGTTTCCCGTGGAAACAGAGAAAGAGAAACTCAAAACTTGAATTTTTGTGTTCATCTTTCCGCGGAATTGAAAATTATGTTGCTGAGATTATTGTAATTACAAAACCATTAATTTCTGCTTTTGAAAATCGAAAAAGTCATTGAGTTTTCGAAAAAACTTGACTATTTTCTTCTTTCAAAATCCACTTACGGGTCAACAATCCGTGAAACTTAAATGATTTTCTAACAATGCAACCCAAAAACAGAAAATTCTCTTTCGACATTTTTCTTTATCATGAAAATTAATTTTCCCACAACAAACATCTGGCCTTCGAAAATTATAATCTAATTAATAATAAATAATGATATAATAATAACAATAATTTATAATATATATTTATATATGTATATTATATTATGTATATTATATTATATATATTATTCTTATTATATTGGGATTCATTTCTGGATTTGAGAAAATTAAAATTAAAATAAAATTAAAATTTTTTTTGGAGGGAATTAATCGATTTTCGAAATTGATAAGTGAATATTTTCTTGCGTCAAGCACATCATCTTCAAGAGTAATTTTTTTTCTCAGTACAGGAAAGCTCATTTGACAGATAATGCGGAAGGATGGGGTGTTCCCACGGTATGACAATGCTCTGTTAGATAAAAAAAAATGTAATCCAGAAAACTCATGCGCTATCCATTAACAGGTAGTCGTCCTCGAAGACGAGGTGCAGTGATAAACCGGTATTGTTCCGGGTTGATCCCCAGGCTAGGAAACACAAGCTGAAACTATTTCCGCGCACGTTCGACACGGATGAACCCACGGTAATTACTTTCGAGGAGTTTTCTATGATGAAGAAACGAGCTTGGGGAATTTTTATTCTTCGACGGTTTTTTTTTTCTACGATTTAAATGAAACTAGTGTATCGCCTCCATTTCCCACCGGTTCTTCGCTCCTGATTCTTCACCGTTACTACCAGCGACTAGTACTCTCAATAACTATTTTAGATCCTTCTAACTGTCCGCACCTAGGTAACCAATTTTTTAGTTTAACAAAAGGAAAAGTTACTTCACTCTGTTTTTCAGAACGAATTGTTTCACAAATAAAGTAATTTAATGTTAACATTTGTTTAATTAATGTATTGGGAATTTGATAAGTGATTTAAAAAAGAAATTTTATGAAGAAAATGATAAAGTCTTCAATTCAGTCAGTCTCATTCATTAAATTTACAAATTTATCGACAACTCAATAAATTATTAAATAAATTCAAAATATTTTCTCCTCCAGACGTCAATTTCTCTGAAATTCCGCAGGATTCCTTAATTACAAAAATAATGAAATGCCTAATCACGCGAGATCTGATTTAATTTATGGATAAGATATTCGGATCACGAGTGCCTAGAGTCGAGGAATTATTTCTGATGGTAAAAAATGGGTTTTCTGTGTACGAGTTGGTGCTGTCCAGTGGAATTCACTAGCAGCTGGGAAATAATCAATACCTGGAGTTCTCAGGTGTAATGTGTACACATGCAAGGTAGTGATGGAGGCAATGGTTTGTTGTGGGTGTTGGTCAGCAATGGATTTAATTCGGCCCTTCGTGATTGTCCAGTCCTGGAATCGCATTTGGCCATCTCACCCTGACCCTTAACCGACTTCCGTTCTCTACATTCACGCCAACCACCGATTTATCGACTTCTTCCATGAATATTCCATTATACACTTACAAAACAATTTTGCAGTGCTCCCTCCCCCTCCCCCATCCCCTCCCCCAACCCCTCCCCCATTTCTCAATTTCTCAATTTTTCATTTTGCATAGAAAATCTCATAAAACTTCTATTCAATTTTCGCAGGGCAATTCACTCGGATTTTTCTGCTTTCATCTGTTGTTCCAGAAAATTTTTAATTTCGCATTATAAATTCAGAGAAAACTAGAATAAAATATTCGCTATTTTAAGAATGAACTTTATGTAAATTATTGGAAAAATTGTTGAACAAAAAATGAAATTGTGATAAAGAAAGATAAAATGGCTATTAATTTTGAAGTGGATTCGCAATTTTGATGTTTTTTTAAATAGAAAAATGAAAAAAGGGGGGAATGCGAGAGAGTTTAGTGAGTGTATTGCCCTTTTTATTTTATTGAAATTGATAACGAGAGGATTAACATGCCAAGGGAAAATAGCGCGAGCTGTATAGACGAAAGTTTAATAAATTAATCGGCCAATTAATCGTACGTTGAACATTGAAAACCGGAAGTGACGTACAGCCCGTCAATTTCCTTGGAAACTGATCTGTCTCGTGACACCGACTACTTTCGTTATAGATCCTTTCAACAAAGAATCTTCCGAGAATCTTACCAGCTCCACCAACCGTGAAATTTGGTGGTTCATTCGTGTGTACAAAAAATTCGCCGACAGAAAGAGGAAATAAGATATACCAGGAGCCATTAAGCGCATCCAAGGCTGAGCTGCATTTTTTTATTCATTCAATTTTAATAAATAAATAAAAACGCAGCTCCATGGAAATTATTGAAGAAGTCTAGACAGAGAGAAAAATTCACTGGCGACTGAAGAATTATTTTCCGTGTGAAATGTCCATTTTAAAACATTGCTTGTAAAAAATTACGATCAAAATAAATATTCGAACGTGGGAAAAGCCCGAAACATTCAGAAATAAACTGTATTATTTCCCCGGATAAGTCGACTCAAGTATTTTACCGAAGACACTTCAATGTTTCAATTTTCCAACAAAATTACATGAGAAAAACTAGAAGAAAATTATTAACGGATCATTTTTTATGACCTGTCGATATATTTCTTGATATTTTCACATCAATTTTTTAACTTCACATTGTGATTCGCAATTGTAATGGAAATATTGATATATATTGATCTTGACGTGAGATTGATAACTCCAAATATCATGACTGATTCAATTCTCGCCTTGAATGTTATTTTTTTCATGACGAGAAAGGAAAGACAACGTATCGTATGATAACCGAAAACATCGGACGAATCGCCCACAACTCCAATAATATTTATATTAGCAACTCCGTAAAAGGGCAGAAGGAGCAGTTCGCACGGTGAGCAGTTCATGAGCCGGTTATTCTCCACGTAAACACATCCTTTTAAGTTTTCGCGATTTTTCATTGAGAGAAAATAAATACTATATTACGATTCAAGTGAAAACGAATGGACATTGTACTTCTTTGATTTTTGAAGATGAAATCACAGAATGATAGATCATTTTTATGTTAAAAAATAAATCTACTGGGAATTCATTTTTCAATCGAGAATCGATCAATTGAATTTTATCGTCGGATTTTCCGAATCCCGGAAAAAATATCCCAGGGAAAAAATATCCCACATATTCAAAGTTGTTAAAACTCGCTCAATTTAATTATTTTTTAATTTAATTATTTTTTTCGTTGTCTATTTGTTCAGGGACTCTAATTTTTCGATGGTCTATCAAATTGGGTGGGTTTTAACACGTTTTGGGTGTGTGGGCTATTTTTTCCGGGGATATTTTTTCCGCCTACCGGATTTTCCCGGTAAAACTTAAATAAAAAAATTATCAATGACAAAACTGATGAATAATAAATATTTTCAATGAATGAGGTGTCTATTGTCTCATGTACACGAAATGGTTATCGATGAATTTGCGATAGTAATTCCAGGTAAAATGGAGTCGAGCTAAACCGCAGATGATTACGAGAGGCCTGAGTATCATACAGATAACGAGTTTAAATGAACCGTTAATCTAGCTTGTTTTAGACTTATGAGATTGTATAACGCGATGGGGAGTGAATTCCTCCCACGTATTGAATTTTTTGTACGATTGCTATTTAATTCGTCAGGGTTGCGTCTTGCATGCGCTGTCGAGGATTTCGTTGTCAGGCATTCAAGTCACTGAAATCGTTCAACTGTTGAAAGCTATCTACAATTTTTACTGCTGTTCTTTCTTTTTCTTCAATTCCAAAAAATGGGAGAATTTCAATGATCACATTATGACACATTTCATCGAAAACTAATGATTTTTCTGATCAACTAATATTGAAAAATTCATTGAATTTCCCTGATTTTCTGGTGTGAATGAAATTTAGACTGAACTCGTCTCAATTTTGAAATTATCCAAAAATTCCCCATTACTGTTATTAAAGCCTCTGGCGATTCCACTTCTACAATAATTTTCAAGGACTACACTAAACCAAAATGAACCTCAGAAAATTCCTACCTTCTGCTCAAATTGCTGGAGGTGGGATGCTGGGGCGACCTGGACACAGGACTAACGGAAGCACTAGCACTACCACTGTTAATCGAATTATCCCTGGAGGAAGATCCACTAGCACTGAGCCTCCTGTTCCTCTCCCCACTAGCTGTCCTGGACCTGTTAGTCCTCCGTCCTCTCCTCGGTGTAACAATGCCCGATGAATTTCGGACAACAGGAGCACTCGATGGCCTCAAAACATTAGACGAGCTCGTGCCATTAGTGTGCGCAGCGAGAATCTCCGGTGCAATTAAAGCAATATCTGGCAACGAATTTGGTGCTGAGATTATTCCAGAAGACTCACTGATCACTGAATCACTGGTAATTGATACTGGTGGTGGTCTTCTTGCTCTGTCAGCCTCTGGAAGCCTGAGGTGTCTCAATCTTCGCATTGACGCGCGCACCCATGAATTGGCGGGTGAATTTTCAATGACACCGCGGGATATTTGAATATCACTGTTATCACTCGGTATTTGTGACTCGTCATCGATTGTTGTTGTTGTTGTTGTCATCGATGTGGCATCTTGAACAGTGTCATCGGTTTGTTGTGCGTTTGTGGCACTAGGTGAGGACTTGCCCGTCGCCTCGACGGACATCGCGACACTGACATTTGAGAGGGACTTGCACAGACTTGTTGTGCGCATGCGCAATAAATCGTGTCCCTCCATGTGAACGTTCTCTTGGCGAGTGCCAGGGGAAATTCCAGTGGTGACCGTATGGAGGGAGGGGGTGGAATTTTCGGGGAGTGATGGGTGGGGAGTTGAGGATTTTGAAGGGAAATTTGGGGGAAAGTCTGAGAGGGAGTTGGAGGGTGAAGGGGAAGGGGTGAGATTTCCGGGGGGTGGTGAGTGGTGAGTTGAGTGAGTGAGTTTTGAGGGGGTGGAATTATCAGCAGGTGGTGGGTGGAGGGTGGAGGACTTCGACGGGCACCGCTTGTGTTTCAGCTCCTCAATCCAGGACCAATCGACATCCGAACACTCCGATGATGACGAACCATCCCTTTGGCATGAATTTAAAAATTCAACGTGGTGCTCCACCTCCCCCACCCACGACCAATCCACATCTGAACTCTCTGATGATGAGGATGACGGAATCTCCGTTCGGCTGAAATTTAAAATTCATTGGATAAAGTATGAATAAATTTCAAAATAAATAAATCGGTGAGGAGTGAAAAATTCATTCAATTCAAGGTGAAAAATGAAATTTCACTGAATTTTTAATGCAACTACTAAAAAGTAATGGGGGAGAGTGAAGGGGATTTTTGGAATCGTTCAATATTTTTAAAAAATCATTTCCGGCCACGTGCAACTATTTAAGATCCCCCATAGTCTCTCCTCGAGGTCCTAAGACAACAGCGCGTGCCTGAGGTGATATCCAGAATGTTTCAGTGCGTACTTCCACTTCCTGTGGCGTGTATTCGAGTCTAAATACAGTCAGGGTAGATGCTAATGTCTTTACGCTATTGACCACGTGCCAATGTTCAAACAGGGAAAGCACCTGAATGCTAGAGTAACGTTCGCTCCAGGTGGCACGTTCATAATCTCCTATTCTAATTCTGGATTTTTTCAAGCTGAGAAAATATGCAGTGGCACACAAATTATTATTGAAAGTACGGGAATTTTATAAATAGATTTTATTAAATTAAATATAATTAAAGATTTTATTAAATTTTATAATTAGAGGACGAGAATTTTTATAAATCCTCAACACCATAACTTGCAATTCAATTCAAGAAAATATTTGATTCCACAATTCTGTAATTTAATTCTTTTCTATTCTCCCGTAATTTCTGTATTTATTTTAGTCAATCCTATATCCTCCCTAATCCTGTTCCTTCTATATTTGCAGCTTCAGTAATTCTTCAACGAGTAAACAGCGTGTTACATCAGACAAGATTTTTAAAAAACCAATTGATTTAATTATGATGAGGTCTTCCCCCGTGACTTATCACGACTCATTTCATGTCCGTTAGGATTGCGGTATTGGCTAAAAGCACTTTAAACCCGCAAAAAGTTACGTTCGTACTGATTTTATGATCCTTGACTTTAACTTGGAATCCGTATGCATCACCAACGAGGGGCAGTTACACTCGATCATAAACGAGTGTTTCTTTTGCATTCCGAGAATCAACGGTAACATCCACAGCACACCACGCTATCATTCATTTTAAAAAACCAAATATATTGAATAAAATGAAACAATAAAAATCACTGAAGTGTGGATAACTAAAAGACCCACGCAAAATGCTTGATGACATTTGCATGCATTAATAAAAAAAGTAGACGTAAGTTCCCACACTTAATCAATCCACCCAAACCGATTTTATTCTCTGATTTATTACGTTGAGAGAGACGACGTTTATTAAATCGAATATCGAAAAATCATGAACGATTGGGGATAGAAAAATAGGTAATTGTTAAGACTTTGAGACTCAGGGGAAGATTCTGGAAAATTTCAAGTCAGGACTTTTGTAAATTAAAAAAATGAAAGGTATAAACTCACCAAATGGTCCGGACGACTCCAGAAGTGGAGGGTTGACACGAATAATCGATATCGAAGCTCGTAGATCTCTCGACGAGGCAGGAGTCATCCTCTCTCCCACCGGCACTCCACGAATTCCTCTCAATCCTGTGCTTTTTTCTCTTTCCACTGTGTCTCATCTCGTTGACCCCAAAACCCACAGACTTCGGTCTCTCACCGAGTGAAAAATCAAAACGAGGTCTTTTAAAAGGTGGAGACACGTCAAACCCTAAATTATCGAACTCGGAGGTTTCGAGTCCTCTGGTTTTTATCACTGGAATCTCATCAGTGCAGTCTATCTCTTTATTGCTGATGTCAACATCATGAAAACTCCCGGGGGTCTTGATGGAGTGATCCGGGGGGTGTGGATTCAGTGGTCTTATGTCATTTTCTGAATCATCTCCGTTGGAGTCTCCACTCTTTGCATTGAATTCTTCCTCGTTGTCGTCTATTTCTGATAAAAAATCAAAGGCACTGATGGCTTGAGCTTCAACTGATTCCTCCAAACACTCGTCAGTGGATTGATCACTGGAGTCGGGAGTGTCTGGGGCTATCACTGGCTCCAGGTTCTTCGTGATGTCTCGAACTCTCTTGATTGTCTCTGATGACACCACGTCGATTCTCTTTCGACTGGGCATCACCTGGTCGTGTCCGAGCGTCACCAGGATGTCCCCGTTGTCACAGTATTCCCGCACTAATTTGTGCTCACGAGTTAATGACAACTTCTGCTCCAGTTTCGGTGGGCACACGTCCAGGAGGTGCTCCTGCTCCTCAGCTGTTGCGTCGGGAATTGACGTCCTCGAGACGTGAATGCCTCCTTCCAGGTCGATCAGGTCCTCGTCGTCGGGAACCTTCGTCGACATCTTGCGATTTCGATTTTTCTGGATGACTGAAACAGAAAAATCAATAATTGTAGCAATTTTCATTTTTTTTTATTGTAAGTTCCTACATTGGGAAAACAAATTCTTCAATGAAATTCATTTAATTGCCTTTATTTTATTAATAAATTTCGGTGTTAGAACGACTACAAACTTGTGAATCGGTGAATGATCGGTAGATTAATGGGAGTGGGATCATCTGGTATTGAATTTAATCTGAGTAATTTCATCGAAAATGGAATGCTATCGAGATGGAAAACGTGGGAGAAAATATTGGCACTAGTTTCCCTGGCAGCGATATTCTAGGGTAAGACTCATCTGTTCTACATCCAGCTCTATGAATTTTCTAAGTGTTACAGCGACCTGGTGACCAGAGTAGAGATCGCATCACGAAAGGTTTATAGGTGCGGCTTTTATTTTCAGGATAAAGGATGTACCGTTGGACACAAATTACCCGAGGATTCAAGGAAAGTATTAATCCTAGTAATAAAATCGCTCAAAAAAACTCAACAGAAATCTTGAAGAAATCAATTGCTCGGACAATTTTTAATTACATAATTGTATAGCAACAATAAGACGCAACTCCACAAAAGTGCAGAACTAAAAAATTATTTGTTTAGACCGCAAATCATTATTTTTGGATAATATAATGGTTTTTGCTTTGTCTTACCGAAGCTTCGAGCCGACAGCCAGATATCTCTCAGAAATCCAGACATAAGTGGAGTTAATTAATTTTTAATGAATGTATTCACAAAATATTAAAACGAAGCACGGCTCATCCCACGAGAGATGATATATCATCAAGGACATGTGTAAGTACTAGAAATTTTGTATTGCTTTCACTGAAGTTTGTAAAATATATTTTTTATGTTGAGTTTATAAATATTCCACGGGTTTTGGGGAGTTGTATGCATTTTATAATAATTATTAGGGATTTTTTGAGGGAACAATTTTGTGAATCACCAATTGCTCCGGCAGAAGAAACTAGTATCCACTCTGTATTGACAGAACAAGCAATCAAACACACTTACGACCCATTAGCATCTCGTCGATAATCCAATTGAGAATGTGTGGAAGAGTTCACAATGGACACACATTGATAAAAAAATTCTGCACTGAGTAAATAATTTTTTAATCAACTGCCTTCGAATTTTTATTTTCATAATTCAACAGAATTATTCAACAATCCACTCAATCGATGAAGAATTTCATTTCACATCAGCAAGTAATTTATCGCCTTTATTGAAATTTTGTTTAATCTCGAATTTCTATTACTTAGAAATTATTTTCAGCGCACGAACACCAGTTAATTACGTACAGAGAGAGAAGATTTCTTATTTTCAGGAACAGTTACTTGATTAAAAAAAAGATGTTAAAGGGAAATTAATGAGCACGAGACCTATGCGATTAATTAGTTTTTCAAGAATTTTAAAAATGAAAGATCAATTTATCAGTGAATTGAAACAATTTTTTAAAACAATGAATAATAATAATAAATAATAATTATTGATGCATATTCCGAATTATTTTAACTACAATGCATATCAATAAATGATAGATTAAATAAATAAAACTAATTACTTGAAGGATTCTATAAATACTAAAATTAACGTAATGGAATTTGGAAGCAATAGAAAAATTTTAGGATTTACGCAAGATTTTAGTTTCTATTTAAAAAATTATAGATGAAAATAATAGACACGTGCCCCCAATATTTCAGTGGGAAATTGAGTGTAGAATGCATGGGGCGTTTATTTAAATTTAATTCCCTCTGACGTTAGAAGTCTCATCTATTTTCCAAGTGTTAATGCTCTGAAAGATCCAATGGAAAAAGTCTCATAGATGTTTCCATCTATATTTACACTCACATTCAACCAAGAGAACGTACACCGATAGCTTTGGATTGGAATAAATGACCTGATAGAAGTGCCTCGGCGAGTCATTTGGCTGCAGTCAGTATTTACGCTGCCCTCTTTTTGTTATTTCTTCTCCTTTTATCTTCATGACAGTTTTAGACGCTCCGAAGTCGGTCACTATGGAGTAATCTTAGACTAGGTTCATTCTCAGTCATTCGTTTCGTAAATTTGTAGTTTTGCACCTCTTCCGTCAACTCTAGCTCAAGCTTAACTACTTTTCCTGATTAAATGACCTTATCACTGAAAAATGACTCTGATATAGAGATTTGACTCAAGTGCTCGATTCAAGTCATGAAGATTATGACATTTTTATCATCGCACATTTTTAATTCATGATTCTTTCTCCCTTCTTTCAATTTTCGACAACTCGAATTTCTTAGTTCCATCCAGAATTTGTACTTGATTGGTATTTTTACTTGACTAAATCCGTCAGGAGTCAGGAGTCATTTTGTAATGATGAGAAATATTTTGTAATGTACTTTATGTAGCGAAAAAACTCGAGTGTTGATCTATGACTCATGGATTAACTGATTGACACTGTCCCCTGGACAATCACCAAATGGAAATGCTCTCTTTTTCTCTCATCGCCGGGGAATTCATGCCACAATAACATTACGAAGCCTCCAGAATGATGACTGAATAATTCATTGAATAATATTCTACCCTGGGATAATGGAATATATCCACCGTTACTCGATGGGGCCGAGCAACCGGATCTCCAGAAACCAAACATTTCTCTCATGATTCACTGAGAACAGGTATCACCCCCTCCTAGAAATTATTTCATATCTAATCACGACAAGTCGTATAGGATTCCAATCCATGAACAAGTTGAATCATAAAATTTTGCGAGACTCTGAAAAATAATTACTTTCACCACCGCAATTTCCCAATAACAAGAAAATCCACAATTTCAGAGTAAATTATCCTATAATATATATATTATATATTTCCTTGAAGTCAATTTTTATTTTAATTTATTAGAATAATTCCTTTCCTCTGTGTATGAAAAATATTTTAAATTCTTAATAAAGTCATGGGAAATATCTGGACAATTCTTCATTAACGAATTAGCTAATTCCTGAGTTTGAGTTTAGGTCTAAATGGAAGGGAAAAATTTTGAAAATATAATGATCTCTGTGGTTTTTAACAAGGAATTTTCACCGAGACATTTGCATGGTGGTGGTTGAATGTAACGAGTCTTACCCGCAACATTGATTTTTTCATGGGCTTGGAGTGACTCATGGCTTCAACCCGTTGTAAATGGAATTACATCCGTACGTTGTCGATATCAACAACTGATGATAACGATTATGTTGATTCCAATGAATGCAATGAAAATAGAGAATAAAAATAGAAGATTGAATGATTTCCCCATAATTGCTATAATTTCCATAATTGCCACAATTTCCAGTACTGAATTAAATCGACAATTACCGCATGGCATTAAATTGAATATTGAATATTTGAATGTAATTCCTGGTACAGCTGTCTAGATTTTCCATTTAAAGTCTATTTCATTGAAATTGTCTTTAGATTCCTCTTTAAAGTCTCATCAGGGGACAAATGGATTTTAAAAATACCGAGTTGACCTGAATTTGTTGTGGAATTGTTGTTATTTTTTTAGTGTCAATACGCAAATTTATAAGCTTTGTCCAATCACATCGAGTCACCGACCTCATCCACCCATTTTGATAAGGCTTCGGTGTCTTTGCTAAAGGCCAACCAGAGGAAACTAATATTAAGGAAAAAAATGGAGTTGCTCTTGGAGATAAGGCCCTCATGTTTTTCAACTCTTTATCATTTCCTGAACGTTGAAAACTAATAAAAAATCCTCACCTTGCTGAGTATGTGCGACGATGTATTCATCATTCTAGTCGTCTCTCTTTTTTTTCATATTTTGCCAGACACTTCACCCCATTTGACCCGACATATCTATGTACTCGGACATTACGGAGAATTCAATTGCAGGAGATACTTGAGTTTACTCCACCGTTTATTGAGATGAAAGGAGAGAAGAAAGTCAGAGGAATGAATATATATCGGATTTTCTGGTTGAACTCTTAGTGGAGAATGAATCGCTTTTTACTTTTCTTCAGAATGTTTCTAATATTTTCGTTTGGTTAAATTAGTTCCTGGACATTTAATATAGCCACTAATGTGTTTTTGAATAACAATATTTTTTTTTTAATTAAGTTCGTAGCGAGGTGCTAAATCGATGCAATTGAAATTTACAATTTTCCACAATTTTCCACAATTTTCCAATTATCTGGAAAACTGTGAAGTTATCATGAAAACCCTAAGGAACATTTTTGTGGCTCTTTAAATTTCCGACGAAAAATGTCTTCTCACATTTTTTCTTGAAACCACTGGTTGTCCAGATAAATGCCGGGATGTAGGAACATTAAAAATCAACTCACTTAACCACTTGACTGCTGAATCGAGTTCCCAGTGAGTTTAGAACAAAGAGAAAAAATTATTTCGTAAAAAAAAATCCCGATTTCACTCAGAACTCAAAAAGAACTCTCAATCGTCAATTTTCCCCGGTAACTGGAAATTTCCCTTGAAATTTCCGGCGACCTTCGTAGACTCCTCTAACACATCTCAAGAGGTTCACCATCAGATAATAACCCGAAGATGATAACCCTAGGTCATCCCCGATACCGATTTATCTCTCACCCCAATCGAACGCATCACAATCCCAAAACCGATCGCCCATAACTGAAAAACCCTTACCTCCAGGTATTCCTTAAAAGACGATCTTCACATCGAACTCGAAGACTCTTCAGTTCTCTCTGGAGTTCTCTCCACTCATCCTGAATCACTTGCCGATCCTGAATTACCAAATAATAACACTAAAATCACTCACAGCACCCGCGAACTCAAGTTTCACCTCAATAAATTCAAATGTTTCATTGACGGAATGAAAAACCGATCCTTTTACTTCAGGAGTGCAGGTAAAACTGGAGAGCATTGAGTCTCTTCTGAAGTTTGGTGGAGTGGTCAGGGTAAAATGAATAAAATCGGTGAAAAATCGGCACGATTTGGGGCCAGGTGGTCTTTAAAATGGGGATTAAGATGGGTAAGTGAGTTGGTTGGCTAGACCATGGCAGTACTGAAGAAGAACTGAGCACTTTTGAAGGCGTACATTCACCGATTGACGTCGAGGCCTAGGGTACGACGAATGTTGAAACAGAATAGTGTGAGAATCGGCTGGTGGAGTGAGATGGAATCGTTGCGTGTGTAAGGCTGGCTCTGATGGTGGGTTTATTGTTGTGTTGAGGTGACCAGACCAGGGGAAAGCAAGAGAGAGGTCTACAGTACATTGCGGTGAGATGGGTTTTTCGTTTGAGGGGAGGTGAGAGGATCCAATGGGCCGACCTGTAGTCCCCATTGGCGTCGGGTCCTGAGACTTTTATGTGTCCTTGAATCTCTCATTCTACGCGTTTGGATCATCTCTGTCTTTGTTGTACACCTGGTGTGGAACAAGTGGAAATCGAATTCCGTCATCTTCTGGACGAAATTTTTTTAAACATGTATTTTTTCTACCGATTTAAAGCTGTTTAAATAGTTGTTAACATTTTTTAATCCACGAGGAAAAGATTTTAATTAGGGGATTGTAAGGGTCTATTAACATTTTCAAATTGTGATATTTGTCATTTATTTTTTTAAGGGTGGAATTGAGAAATTGGTAATTACAGAAATCATATCGTAAATTATGGGATTAAAAATATAAATTATGATTGTTTGATTATAGTTTACAATTTTTATGAAAATTAATAAATTATTAATACAATTTTGGACTGTTAATATTATATTCTACCTGCAAGGATTTTCAGAATATCAATTCAAAGACCGAGAATTGATCCATCGACATTCTCCTCTCAAGACAAACCAAGAAAATACAAGTATATTGATAATTACCCAACAAATTGTGCATTAACGCACAATCCATTGAAACAGAGTACAAAAAGCATCGAGCTAATTGCTACGAATGTGAATAGAAGATTTTTTTTTCGTTAGAGCCTTTGTACGAATTTTTTCAAGAGGATCTCACAATGCCCTCGTTATTATCCATTTTTCAAGGGCAAAATACAATGGCCTCAGCATCTGCACTCGATTTCCTCCAGTTTCTTTTCTAGAAGTTGAACGTTCAATCGATGTTTGCACAAGTATTGGCCCTCGAGGAAGAGCACTGGAATTTGGTATTGATAAAGCTGATGGTAAACTTGGTTTTCTGCTGCTGTTATGTCAATTTGTTCCAACTGATAGCGCCCAGAGAATCGAGACTGTAATGTTTCTTTTAGTACATCACAAAGTGAACAAGGATTCTTGGTGAATAGTGTCAACCTCGGTGGTGATGAGACTGGATGCAACCTGTGGGATTTGGGTAAACGCCTCTTGGTTTTTAAAACTTGATAACTCTTCTTTCTATTTTCAGTTTGTTGAAGTTAATCAGGAAATCTATACCAGGTGGATAATCAGGTCAGGAATATTTATTCTGCAGATTTCTGGTGGAGGAATCGGTGAAATTACGCGTCTACGAGACTTTCAGAGAAAAATAGCTTTTATTTTTTCGTAAAATGTATAAAATTGGAGATCAAGACGAGAATTATTGCAATGTACAATTTTAGAAAAATAACATGATCTCTCGAGCAACTTCCGATAGTTTCAACAGTCTGGGGGTTTCCAATGGACTTACAGTTTTTCAATCATTATGGAAGAGGCACCACCTCCACCATTGCAAATTGCGGCGACTCCCTTTTGCCCTGGTTTCAGGGCGTGCACCAGGTGGACGACTATTCTTGCTCCTGACATTCTACAGTGAAAAATTAATTATTAATATTTTTTTTTCAATGGTTGTTCAATTGAGTCAATTTTAATCTCATTAAAATAAACTCATTACTGGATATTTATTAATTAATATTATAAATTAATAATGATTAAAAGATTTAATTGAATCGACTGGAATTCATATGATTATATCAAAATATTGTAACGAATATTTTATTTTTGTTTAAAGTATTATTAAGAATGCTTTTCACACTCGTAAAATGAATTGTTAGAATTGGATAATTAAAATTTGAGGAGTATTTACCCAATGGGGTGACCGAGGGAAACTCCACCGCCGTGAACGTTAACTTTGGTTGGATCCAAATCCAAAATTTTCTGATTTGCCAGAACAACAACACTGAAGGCTTCATTGATCTCCCATAACGCCACGTCTTCCTTCTTCACATTTGTTTTTTGGAGCAGCTGGAGAATTAAAGCAAGGAATTTTACAAGGACTGTCAGTTGAATAAGTCCCAAAAATCTATAATGTCCCAAGTGACCTGATCGAGTTTTAGCAGAATATCTTTGAATCTCATGGAGATACAATATTCTATACTTGATTAGTCCCCTCATCGGGGAATTTTATGGATACGTACAGGGGGAATAGCGAGGGCTGGAGCAATTGGAAAATCAATGGGATCAGTCTCAGCATCTTGGAATCCAACAACTCTCGCCAGTGGTTTTAAATTCAACTTCTGGGCGGCACCTGCTGTCGTCAGAATCAGGGCAGCAGCTCCATCGTTCAGGGTCGATGCATTTCCTGCAGTTACTGTGCCATTCTCTCTCTGAAAATCAGCATTATGAATATCTGAATTTTGATTATTTGAATTTTTAATTAATCTTAAGCTCTGGAAATTCTAGTACTGAATATTTATGTTTTCATTGGAAATGTAAATTAGTTTGGAATTCTAATTTCAAATTTAAGTTTCAGATAATAGGGCCACATCAACTATTATTCCATGAAAATAAAAATCTTCCTATTTTCTGTGCAAAAGCCGTAAAAATAGAAAGAATCTCCTATTTTTTATTTCCCATCGCTCGAATGTACCTGGAAGGCTGGCTTCAGTGCACTGAATTTCTCAAAATTCACTTTCCTGTACTCCTCGTCTTCAGAAACAACTAAATCAGGCTTTCCCTTCTTCTGAGGAACATTTACTGGGACTATTTCATCCTGAAAGGCTCTACTATCCCATGCAGCTGCACTGCGTCTGTAGCTGCTGAGCGCAAATTCGTCCTGTTGCTCTCGAGATATTTTATACGTCTTGGCAGTATTTTCTGCGCAGTTGCCCATATGAAATTTATTATAAACGTCGGTCAATCCATCGAAGACAATTCCATCCTGCATTGGTTCATTTTCAATTCATTATTTTCATTCCCATTAAAATAATAATGCCGTTTTGGTATTTAATAGGGCATGAAAGATAGGGGATTTGAGAAATGAAATAGGGGATTTGAGAAATTTCAAGCATTTTTCAGGTGGATATTACCTCGAGAGTGACACCTCCATAAGGAGTGACCCCACGTTTCATGTAATAGGGCACATTGGACATTGATTCCATGCCACCGGCTATGATGACTTCTTGGTGTCCACATTGCAATGATTGAGATGCCAGCATCACGGTTTTCATTCCGCTGGCGCATACTTTGTTCACTGTTGTGCAAATTGTAGATTTGGGAAGGCCTGAAATAAAAAATGGAAATCGTAACCTAAATTATCTTCATCGAAATCAATGTATGACTGATTTTATTGTGAAATTACCAGCAAATATTGTAGCTTGTCTGGCTGGTGCCTGTCCCAAACCAGCTGGGCACACATTTCCCATGTAAACTTCATTGATTGTGTCTTTGGAAATACCAGCACGTTCAATAGCCGCCTAAAAATTAAATTACAATTGTTTCATTTAAACTGATCTTCACGATAAATCATTGCTCTTGTCTTGGTGTTACCTGAATCGCTGCAGATCCTAGTCTACTCGCTGAAAGCGACGATAATGATCCCAGGAAGGATCCAATGGGAGTCCTGGTGGCACTGACGATGACGACCTCGTTGAGGTTGACTTTGGTGCTGTAAGTCCTGTATTTCGCCGCACAACTCTGAAACAATTAACACAGAAATTACACTGATGAGATCAACAATCGTTTCACTCGTTCTGTTTACTCCCAACAATTCGAATTTTGATCCTAATCATCGTCTCATTTTTATTTCAAGATCTAAAAATACCTTAGCTGCTCTAGTTAGCAACAGCATGACTGCAAGTCCTTCAAAATTCGTACTATCGCCCCCTGAACATGTGGAGCTGAATATATTTTACACAGAATTTATTATCTATTATCAAAGGTCATTCGGCGCAGAAAACTGGTCATATGGTGCCGTTGACCCCGAAAAGGTCTCTGATTGGTTGAGATGTTCCACATCTTCAATGCAGTGAAAAAATCGAAATTTAAAACTCCTCAGCACTGAAAACTTCAGAAACAAGTGGTAAATTTTTTTATAATCACTCAGAAATAAATTAAAAAGCCTCCTTCGCCGTTGAAGAACTTCTAATTATCACAATTGTTGACGATTGTTAACTGGAAATTCAATTTTACCACTATAAGATGGCCGCGGGCACGTGATGCACCCGCGCACGCGTACCTATGCTATCGTATTCAGCGCGAGAGTTGAAAAATTAAAACTCAAGTTTTTGATTCTATGAATTGATTGGTAAAATTGTTTCCGTCCAGGGGATTTTCATTGCAGCAAAAATAAATTCTGAGGTATTCAATTTTTTAAAATCAATTTTCAATTTAATTTTTGTTTTAACATTTTTTTATTATGACAAGATCTGACGGATTTTTATTTCAATTGGTGTATCATGTGGCGTCATCAACTGTATTGATTATGTTATTTAAAAAAACGGTGAGATAACGATTTTTGATGCATGTCGTATCCTCGTGGTTTCCATTAGATTGTTTGTGTGGAGAGTAGCCATGAGTTGTTAGTGGATTGTTTTAATTATTATTAATTACATTTGCGCGATGGAGAGCGACGTTTTGCTAATCGGCTTGATGATTTAGACTCCGGGGACTTCCTCAGAGGTGTTTCAATCCTGAAAAAGACAAATCAATGTTGACAATCTGTTATTGAACACGCACATCTCTCCGATGTTGATTCGAGATTACATAGATTTTTATTACTAGTAGACATGGCCGAGCCGATTTTTAAGTTGTTTCTATTATTACTCGAGTTCCGTAAATAATTTTTATTGTTGACAATGCAGATAAGACACAGATGGTGCACAGTAAAATTTATCGACATTTTTTATTCCGGGAAAATTCTCGAGGTCTGAATGGCTCACCACCTAATTTATCTGATATATGCGATTTTTTCAATAATAATTCAAAAATATTTTTCTTTATTTCTCATTAACAATTCGTTTCATTTATATATTTATAATCATTTCTATAAACTTATCTATGTGGCAATAAAATGGTGGCATTTTCGTTACACCTAGATTTTTTTTTAAGCGGATATTTTTATTATATTCATTACCAATTACCGATTTTCTGATCGAAGTATTTTGATGATCGGTGGCGTTACCGGTCGCTCGATGGGCACCAGGTCATGGGTAATGAGATGACTGTACACTGGAATCTCCAATCAATGGTGTAATTACGTATATATTTTGATAAGAATATGAAAGAAACTGAATTTCGCTTACATAAGGCAAGGAGCTGTCCAAAATGGGGCGATCGGCGTGAGATTTAATCATCGATTTACCCTGGCACTTGGGAGAGTCGAGATCGATCAATTCCTCCATGAATAATAATTAAGAAGTCGTAGAAATTTTTATCGAGATTTGACCAATCAGTGGAACCGATTTTTTACGTGTCGTTCAACTCCCCAGAGTGGAATATTCAATTTCAAGAATATTTAATCGATAAATGACAGCTGCTAAGCGACCGCTCATAAATGACGATTTAAAATCCATTCGTATTGAACATGGGATGAGTAATTGACGTGTGATGATATGTTATTTTGGATCGTTTAATTATACGAATGGAAAAGTGAGAAGATAAAGCGAGAAGAATCGGATGCTACAGTTTTCTTGAGGAGAATTATTAAGGAGATTATTAATTATTAAGGAGAATTTTCATTTTAGGAGGAAATAATACCGGTTGTCCTAAAACCCAACGTCCAAACTTCAACCTAAAAGTGGGGATGGAATTCTAGATCGAAAAGTCCTGAGCAACTCCCGGGGGAATAACAAATCGCCAACGGTCCGCCCGCCATTAAAAAATTAGTAACTCCTCCCCTAATTAATTGAGAGTTGAAATAAAAAAATGGAATAAAAATTTCCACTCCCGCAAAATCGGCTATCGTTGAATTGATTTTTAATCCAATTTTTATCTAAGTCCTTGGGATTGTTTAAATAATTAAGAGAATCAAATGAAAATCGTGGATTTCAGAATTATCAGAAAGTATCAGCAAACTGAGAACTCTGTTATTATACAAGAAAAAATAAAAGAATAATTACATAGCATAATAAAAAATAATCCCTAAGTTATAGTGTCAAGGCCAGTGTCCGTCAGCCCTCGGCCACACGCGCTTCGCCTTCAGATTTTTCCAAATCCCCTAAATTTGTTCCCATGTACAGTAAATTTACAAAAAAATTCCTGCCCTCGCAAAAAAAACCATAGAATCTTTAAATAATTTAAAAGAAAAACAAATTGATCAGCTGCTCCGAAGACATCTATCGAAGAAACCACGGGAATCCCTATCATCCCCCAGAAGCTGAATCATAAAAATAAATATAATAATAATACTAATAATAATAATA